GGCTCCCGGGAGATTAAGAAATGGGTTTCTTATGTCGAGTCCTGATTGGTCAATAAATCCTATTTTTGACCACGTGGTGTGCTTTTCACTACGTCCGAACTTTTGGGTGCGCCGTTCTTGTTTTTGACCCCACAGGGCATGGTAAGGAATGAATTCCCGCGCAATTGTATTTTTTGATACACGTGGTGTGAATTAATTTTTATTGTGTGTATGTGTGTGTGGAAAATAAAATAAGAAACAGCACAATACTCCCCACCCAGATTGGAAAATATATGAAAGATACATATGTTTTTCAATATGTGATATATTCTTTAAAATGTTTCGGACAGTGGACTTTTCTGCCAGTTTTCGTTGTAGGTGTGATGTCAGTATTTTGTTTTTTAGCTTCCTCATTTTCTGTGTGAATATGTGTTTGTGGAGGTATTGTATGAGGTTGTTCGTCGATGTACGCTGGTTTGATGCGATCAATAGCGATATTATCTTTCTTTTCTTTTCTCATAACAGTAAAATTTTTCATGCCTGTCCAGAACTTGATATGGTCCTGAATAATTTGGACAGAGTGGTTTTTTAACTGCGTCATTTCTGATAAATATATATTTGCAGGTGTGAAGATCGTTTGGGATGTAAGTTTGTTTCTCTGTTTTCCTGGTTGGTGCAAAGTTGAGAAGAGACATTTTATGTTTTAATTCTGTTACAAACGTTGTTGTAGGTGAAATGTCTGTCTTGTGATTAAAATATTGTCCAGGTAATGTTAATGCTGATCCGAAAACTACCTCTGCAGGTGTGCTTTGCAAATCTTCTTTCACCGTGTTTCTTATCGCTAAAAGAATTAGCGGTAAATTGTCTGTCCAGTCCGCATTATTTAAATTCATAGCTAGAGAAGCTTTTAACTGTCTGTGGAATCTTTCAACCATCCCATTTGCACAAAGGGTGATAAGCGGTTGTTTTGATGTGATTCGTTCCTAACAATTGGGTAAATTCAGCAAAAAGTGTTGATTGGAATTGTGAACCTCTATCTGTTGTTACTACTGAAGGTACTCCAAAAATTGCTATCCAGTCCTGCAGTATAACTCTGGCTATTGTTGCAGCTGAAGTGTCTTTGACTGCTATGGCTGTAGGCCATCTGCTAAATCTGTCAACTATAGTAAGAATATGTGTATGTCCTTTTGAGGTGGGTAAAGGTCCTACTAAGTCGACATGAATGTTGGTGAATCTAACATCAGGTATGCTAAAAAGTGCCAAGTGGTGATTTCGTGTGTCTGTGGATTTTGTTCTTTTGGCAAGGTATACAAGTTTTAGTCCAATTGCGAATGTCCGTGTTCATATTGGGCCAAACAAAGCGTTCTGCTATTAATTTTACAGTGGCTCTTTTTCCTGGATGAGATAAATTGTGAAAATGTTGAAAAACTAGTCGTCTGATGTTCGGTGGTATGTGTTTGTGATACATCACAATAAAATTTTGTTGTACCAAATGGTATCGGCATTTCTTTCAGTTGTAAGGATGTTTTTTGTTGTACAACTGGAAGTGTTTCATCTGTTTTCTGCTCTTGTGCGATCAATTCCATACTTAAAGAACTGGAATTTAAAGAGGCTATTGTAGATCGAGATAATGCGTCTGCTATAATGTTCTCTTGTCCCTTAATATATCGGATGTCTGTGGAGAACTGGGCGATATAATCGAGATGTCTGATTTCTCATGGACCATATTTATCTACATGTATGTAGTGCATATGTTAATGGTTTGTGATCTGTATAAATGCAAAAATTTCTTCCTTCCAGCAAATGTTTAAAATGTTTAATTGCAAGGTAAATTGCTAGAAGCTCCCTTGAAAAGATGCTGTATTTCGTCTGTGTCTTGCTTAGCTTAGCAGAAAAAAATGATATAGGCGTCATTCTGTTGTTAGCAATTTGGTGTATGACTGCTCCTACAGCTATTTCAGATGCATCTGTTGTAAGCGTGAGTTTTGTGTCCTCACTGTCTGTTACGTAGTTTAGTTTTGTAAAGTTGGCCAAAGCAGTTTTAGCTTGTTTGAAGGCTTCTAGGCTAGACCCTTCTAACTTTAACTGTTGGTTCTTTGTTTTGTTTTGTAACAAATCTGTTAACGGTGCAAGTAATGTAGAACAGTTAGGTAAAAATCGTCTGTAATAGTTAATCACGCCTATGAATCTGCGTACTTGTCTGACTGATGTTGGTTGTGGGAAATTTGAAATTGCACTTACTTTCTCGGGTAGTGGAGATATTCCGTCCTTGTCAATTAAGTGTCCGAGGAAATTAACCTTTGGTTGGCTGAAAATGCATTTCTCTGTATTTATTTTCAGACCGTAATGTGATATTCTTTCAAATGTTTGCTCTAAGTGCTGTCTGTGCTCGTCGAGGTTTCTGCTGACAATTAAAACGTCATCCACATATGCAAATATAAATGGCAGACCTCTAAAAACTTCGTCTATTAACCTCTGGAAGGTTTGACAGGCGTTCCTAAGCCCGAAAGGCATCCTTACGAACTCGTAAAGGCCAAATGGTGTGGTCAGTGCAGTTTTATGAATGTCCTCTTCTGCCACTGGAACTTGGTAGTACGCCTTTACAAGATCCAATTTGGAAAATATGGTGCCTTGTAGACCGATGGCGAAATCGTGGATATGTGGAATAGAGTATCTATCCGGGACCGTTTTAGCATTTAATCTTCTAAAATCGCCACAAGGACGCCATGTTGTAGCGTCGGACTTTTGCACCATGTGTAGCGGTGAAGACCAAGCACTTTTCGAGGGTCGGATGATCCCTTGCTGTAATAAATGTTGAAACTCGTTTTTCGCAATCTTATACTTGTCCGGTTTCAATCGTCTGGGGGTGGCATAGACAGGTTGTCCAGTTGTCTTGATGTGGTGCTTGGCATTATGTTTTATGGTGTCTGTGTATTTAAATGGCTGGGAGAGTTGTGGATATTTTTTTAGTAGCTGACGGATGTACTGGTCCTCGGGTAAGGCAGAACTGATTCCAGTAGACTGGTATTTCGAGGTGAGTCCTCTTACTGAAATCTTGGTTTGATTATCCACCAGTGTGCGATTAGTCATGTCGACAGACAGGTTGAATCTGGCTAAAAAATCTGCCCCCAATATATATATTTACAACTAAGCAACTAGCATAATTAAAAGAAAAAAACTTGTATTTCCAACGAATGATTTATTTTATGGAAATATTTCGACTAGGAATTAAAGAGGAGAATACAACTCTTATATTTATCTGTTTTAAAATTTGTTTATTTTCTTTCAACACAATAGGAAGGACGCTGATCAGATTAAAAGATGAAGGAGCAGTTACAAGTAATGGCAATCTGATCTACAAAATTAATTGCATGAACTGCTCAACAAGTTATGTGGGCGTGACTTCAAGATCATTGAAAGAACGACTGGATGAACATCGAAGACTTTGTGATAAGGTAATTTCAAATGAAAACGAAAAACAATAACTGGAAAAAACTTCAGCGATTGCATGACATGCCATTACAGAAGGTGGTCACAGAATTGACTTCGACTATCCGGAAATAAAATTGACCAACCAAAAGCATTTCAATCAAAGAAGAGAAGCTGAAAAAATGGTAATAGTAAATACAAAAAATGTCTGCATTAGGATAGATGCAGCACAACTCCATTCTGTCTGGATCTCTCTGCTTCAAAGAAAAATATTGAGGTGATCACTTACATGTGCCACACCTCCGCTTTCTTTAATGTCATTGGTTCATAAATATATGATACTTATTATATGACAATTTTGCCATCGCACGTCATTTGAATTTTTCTCTAAAATCACAGATTAGTCCATTTCCTGACCAATCGCGTATTTTAGTATCTTTCTATATTTTTGGCGCCAAGCTCACTGGAGCCTATGCATCGTTATATAAACCCTCTCGCTGTTAGCCAACAGCAGTTCAATTCTTGGAAAATAAGGCACGGTGCTATATTGACATTTTAATTCTTAATTATTACTCAATCGAGTAATCATACTAATTCCTATTGATAACACTCATGAACATTACATTTTTCTACACTGATAAAACACTGTGGAACTATTCTTTATTTAGCTAAGACTTCAATTGAACTTTGTAGTTAAATTACATTCAATTTTGTACTCAACATTTATTAGCTAAACTTACCCTTTTTATAACGGAAAAAGGGAAGCAACTTTCTTTATACTATTGTTGATATTTGTATATCATTGTTAATAATACAATATTTTATTAATGTTCACTGAGCTTCATTATTTTTCTCTCGTGTTTGTTGTGCATTATTCATGTGGGGTGTTGTTTTACAAGAACACAGTCTTCCTTCTTTATTATATTCACGGTGACCCTAGCCAACAATACTTACAGCACCACTACAATACCTAAAAATTTGTATAAAATTTATAGAATTTAATTCGATAATCATTTTATTATTTTCAGCCTCAATCATAATTTCTTTTTTGGAATCAATTCGACAAAGAATTGACCTAAAGTTTTATTTCTCGAAATTTGCTATTATTATTATTATTATTATTGTTGTTGTTGTTGTTGTTGTTTTTGTTGTTGTTGTTGTTGTTTTTGTTGTTGTTGTTGTTTATTTCTCTACGGGGATTTATTGGTTGAAGAGAGTTCCAAAAACGGTTTGGCCCCCTTGAAGGCATTTACAGAGAAACATGTTGTTGATGTTTCTCAGACAACAGGACACAGAACTTCAGAAAGAATATTTTGAATAATGAAGCTGTGAATTTATATGAAAAAGAGATTTTGTATCATTCTCATCTGATGGAAGACTGCTAATTCATTACAAAGTACTGGATAAGCTACAGTGAGCAATTGGCTTGTTTGAATGACAATTCTTAAATCGATCTTTAAGCTTCCTTCTAAAATCCTGAAGAGGAAATGAAATAATGAATTGTTGGAATCTCTTTTTCGTCAGTAGGTTCTATGGCTGTACCTAAAGCAACACCGTAAAACCGACTTGGAATTTCCGTCTGGAATCTTCAGAAACAAAAGTACCAATTCTTTCTTCTATTTTACCAATTCTTCTTCCGGCCTTTTTTGCTCGTTCTCTCCCCCTCTCTCTCTCTCTCTCTCTCTCTCTCTCTCTCTCCCTCTCTCTCTCTCTTCCTCTCTTCCCTCTCTCTCTTCCATTTCTCTCTCTCTTCCTCTTTCTCTCCCCCCTCTCTCTCCCTCCCTCTCTCCCTCCGTCTCTTCCCCTCTCCCTCCCTCTCTCTTCCCCTTCTCTCCACCTCTTTCTCTCCCTCCCTCTTTCTCTCCCTCCCTCCCTCTCCTACTCTATTCCCTCTCTCTGTTCCCTCTCTCTATCCCTTTCTTCCTCCTCTCCCTCTCTCTTCCCTCTCTTTCCCTTTCTCCTTCCCCTCTCTCTCCGCCCTTCTCTCCCTCCCCTTCTCTCCCTCCCTCTTCCTCTCTCTCCCTTTCTCCCTCCCTCTCTCTCCCGCACTTCTCTCCCTCCCTCTTCCTCTCTCTCTCCATACGTCTCTTCCTCCGTCTCTCGCTCCCTCTCTCTTCCCTCTCTCTCTCTTCCCTTTCTTTCGACCTCCCTCTTCCCTCTCTCTTTCGTCCCTCTCTCTCTTCCCCCTCTATCCCTCCCTCTCTCTCTCTCACTCCATCCCTACCACTCCCTCCCACTCTCTTCCCCTCTATCCCTCCCTCTCTCTCTCTCTCTCCTCCCATCCCTACCCTCCCTCCTCCCTCTACCCTCTCCCTCTCTCTTCCCTCTCTCTCTTCCCTCTCTCTCTCTCTCCCTTCCTTTTTCTCTCCCTCCCTCCCTCTCTCTCCCACCCTCTCTCTCTCCGTCTCTTCGAAATCTTGCCCCCCCCACAAATTCCCGTTCGTGGGAACGGCACGAAGGAGGGGGAAAGAATACAACCCCAGAGATTTGTCAAGTTGGATTCTTTTAATTTGATTTCCTTCTTTAGAATAATAATAGAATTCTTTAAAATCAAAATCACAAACGAAAATTTGTTTTGCGTTCGTTTCTTTTCTTTTGATTCTCTTTTCTTTTTCTAAAAATGGCCGACTTTCTTTTCACGCCAAAAACCAAAGTTCTCCATCCACCACCCTGACCCCGACCCCACTAACAACGAAATTGTCATGGGAAAGACAACAAATGTTGAAGGGAAAGAATCCTTCGTCCATCAAGGGACATCGGGCGACGATTTCCCCAGTCTCGTCGAATTCCTTGATCGAATAGTCGCATCCATCAACAACAAACACGTGACCATCTTCGTCGCTGACGGCAATCGAATGAATCAACCCCAGGTTCGAATCCTGCAGGCGGAATTCGCTTTCAAGTTCCAATTCTATTGTCTTTGCCGTCTTAAAGTCGACGATTTCTTCTTGAAGTTGGGTCAATGATTGTTGGCACCATTCTGGAAAGGTCACCACAAAATGACCTTCTTCCACATGGAGCCGCCCTGAAAGTTCCGCTCTCAGTGACTGTACACCAGAAACAACATCCTCATCGTCGATGCTGGCGGCAAACAAATGGCGCAAATCCAGGAGCCATTTCCCTGCCTCCTCCAAGAGATTTTCTTTCTCTTTGAGGAATTGGCACCATTTCCTTTCTTCTTCGCTCGTCTTTTCTCTCATTTGGTTGCACAACTCTGCGGCCTTCATTCTGATCTTTTTCAGAAATTCATCGAATTCCTGCCAGACTTTGCAGCAATTTTCTTCGCAATTGATTGATAATTGTTCAATTGATTTCTTCGTCAGTTCAATCCCTCGACGGAGCCGCTTTTCGAATTCTTCGACATCTTCCTGCAAATCGACGAGGTGCTTTTTCGCTTCCAAAATTTCCTTCCTCAAAGACGACGAAGCCATTTTTGGATTTCGTTCAGGAAAAAAGAAATCTGAAAATACGAAAGAAAAAAAAATCTTTTTTTAGAAAATAAAAAAAAAGGTCAAAGTTCAAAATCATAAAAAGTCGATTTTTAAAACCGAAAATAAAATAAAGCGAAATTTTTAAATCTTACAAGAAAAACAAATCGATTTCCTGAAAAATTTTAATTTACTTCTAAAATCTTTTGATTAAAAAATCTCGTTTCTCAGCATCAGCAGGTGTCCTACTAAATAACATGGCAGATTTTTGTGTATTTTTTGTTAATGGCAGTCAATAATTTTGAAAATCTTGCAAAAGTAAAAATCATTGTCGGATTTTCATGAAACTTTCAGAAATTATTCACAAATGATGGAAATTATTATAAATATGTTTAATTTTTTTTAAGTCATGGTAAACTTTTTTTTAATATTTATTACCACCACCATAATTAATTTCATGAAAATTCATTAAATTTTAATTTGTTCCGCGAAAGCGATTAATTAGTTAAAAGCACAAGGCTTTGAGGAAAGTAAATCATTTTTTTTTTTTTTTTTTTTTGAGCTGAAACCCGTTGACCTTAAAATCAGCACTGAATTGTAACATACAAAACTAAAAAAAAACAAAGATATTATTTAATTTCAAAAACTTTTAATTGCTTTTCCTTATTTGTATGACTATGGATAATATTTTCTGAAAGCAAAAAACGTTTTCGATGAAAAATAAATTTTTACAACGATTATTTGTTATTTCTTAAGTTATTTTATTATTAAAAATATATTTATTGCTTAAAGTTGTAAAATATTTTAAATTTAATGAAAATCTTGTTCCACTTAGTCAATGGTATTATTAAGTAGATAAATATCATTTACACATTATAAAATAAAGCTGGTTATAATCAGAAAGTTGCTTCTACCTAAAAATCTAATATAACATGTTTTTTTTGTATCCAAAAATAACTTAAATTCAAATATACGGAAGACCAGAAACGTCATGAAAACAATAGAAAGCCACGTGGTTTGTGTGGGTATAAATGTCGTTCTCCGCTGTCAGTCAGCCTTTTAATTTCAATACAGTGTTCATGCGAGACACGTGGAGAAATTTTTGATTTTCTTGTTTTCCTTAAAACAAAAAACTTTAACCTAAAGTGACGATCCAGTGAATAGCAGCAGGCAGCATTTTTATTTTTTAAAAAGTAAGTACCATTTCATTTTTTACTCCATATCTGTTTTCAGCGAGTCTTATTTCAATGCATTTTTTTTCATTAAAAACAAATAGCAATACCAGGCTTTTCACCGTAAATTTTTACAAAGTAAGTACCATTTGATTTTTTTTGTTTTTTTATCTACCTATTTCAAAATACTATTTCAATTTGTGAATTTGCTTTTGGTGAATTTGTTTCATTTATTTTTCTTTCTTTTTTAATTAAGAAAAAATCTAGAAAACATTCCCCACCGAGTCTCTGAACTTTTTTTTCAGTCCTTCATTTTGTAAATGTACCATTTGGTTTATTTATTTTCTTTTTTTATACCTATTTCAAAATACTTTTTCAATTTGTGAATTTGTTTTTAGTGAGTTTTTAATTTATTTTTTAATTTAGAAAAAAACCCAGAAAACTTACACCACCAGTTTTTTCAGTCCTCCATTTATCAAAGTAAGTACCCTTTGGTTTACCTTATTTCAAAATACTTTTTCAATTTGTGAATTTGTTTTTAATGAATTTTTGGTTCATTTATTTATTTTTTTAATTAAGAAAAAAAATCTAGAAAACATTCCCCACCACTCCTGAACTTTTTCATCCTCCATTTTTCAAATAATTTTTTTTTTATGCCTCCAAGTTCTTGGTATTTATTTATTTATATTTACATAAACCTACTTTAATTATAACTTATTTTTTAAATGTATTTTCTTGTTTTTGTTTTCTTTCAATGAATATTTACAGATCTTTGTGAGTCATACTTCACTCCTTATTTAGGTTTGTTTCAATTGAGAATACATAATATAGAAATCAAACAATTCCCATGTTTTTTCATTCCATTTTTTAAGTATTAATTTCTCCATTAAATTTATTTTACTTGTCAATTAATTTTCTTTTTTTGTCTTTTCCTGATGAGCATGATCAGCCAATGTATGAGAAAATATGGTGCTGTACAATCAAGACAGCCAGTTCTGTGCGGCCACATATTTTTAGAAATGGCAAAAAAAATGAGGCAGAGATCATCAAAAGGAGTGAAGAAAAGCAGAAACAGCATCAAAAAAAGGAAAGGTGTTCAACACACAAATTCTGCCATCAAGGCAGAACTCCCGGACTTTTCCCAAGATTTTGTGGATGATATTTGCAAAATCTTACGTGGTGATATAGTTGGCCAGACTATAAAACACATTTGGACAGTTGAGTCTGTTGATAAGATATTTGTAGGATGGGTCATGGAATTCTATGACCCAGATTACAATGTTTTCTATAAAGAAGAAAATGAAGATTATCAACTGGACAAATGTGAAATGGCTACTGACAATATCATGTACGACCTTCTCTTCAATGGCTAAACCCCATCCTGTTAGATCTGGCAGCAAGGACTCTGATCATTAGGTTGGAGTTTGTGAGGAGCGTGGAACCACCTCAGAATTGCTGTTGTTCTCAGGTCCACTCTGGCCTGGAGTGGTAGCACCTGTGAGGGTCCCAGCTATGGGCAAAATAGCAAAAAACAAAGGCCCTTTTAAGGGCCACAAATATTTCACGAAAGTCTGATACGAATTGCATTGCATCTGTAGATCTCTCTTACTTGGCTATGAATAAATAAAATAAAGTGTATATGTTTATGTAATTATGAGAAAAAAATGCCTTTTCAATAGTCATATTATTTAACATTAAACTTTCCCTGATGATCCGTTTAGGTGAAACCTAGGTAGGTTTGTCTGGCTCACTAGGTGTATCTAGGTCTGCTCTACGGTTGTATTGAGCTCTTTTGTTAGTTAGTTGTTACTCGTATCGGGGTTTTTTCTTTGGGCTTCAGACCTGCATCTGTGCTATTTTTTGTCGACAGAAGTCCATGTTTGTAGCTCTTTCTTTTTTTAAAACCTTTTTTTCCCTCGAAATTGATTTGATTAACAAATCAAAAATTCGAGGGTTTTTCGAAACGAGTCTAGTTATCTATATTTATATGTATAAAGCTCTAGGTTATCCTATCGAGCACTGTTTAAAATCAACTAATATGGAACGCGTAGACATAGGTTATTCACTTAAAAACATAACCATACCTGACCGTCACTCATACGAGTTATGTTTATTACGAAAAATAGAAAAATTTATAATAAATATGAGGTGGCGTGCATATTTTTGTTTAAATAATAAACCTAATAGCAAAACCAGCGAGAGCTATGGATTCAAGACCAATGCCCATCCTCCGTATGTTAAGGAACTCAGTAACTTCGAATCGGAGTTAATCGGTATTATCAAAAAATTAAAATATAGAAAAATAAGGAATAATAACGTGCAACAACAAATTGCTAAAAATATAAAAGAAATAAAGGAAGACAAGAATATTTACGTAAAAGCTGATAAATCGAAACTTAACGAATATATAGACTTCAATAACCATGGGTTGTACCGCGACGACGGTTTAATCATAGTGGACAATAGTAACCCTCAAAAATGTGACAACATTCGTAAAAAAAACTGCACTGGTTTTTTAAAAAATTCGGATTTTATCTCGATATAGAAACCAATTTGAAAATTACCAACTATCTAGATATTACGTTAAATTTACAAAATGGCACAATATCCCCGTATAAAAAAGAAAATCAAGAACCCCAGTATTTACACATAAAATCAAATCACCCAGCCCATATTATAAGGCATATTTCTAAAAATATTGGGTATAGACTTTCTACTAATTCCTCTAATAGGGACATTTTTGAGGCCAACAAAATAAGTTATGAGCAAGCCCTAATTAAGAGTGGACATAAAAATAAATTAGAATATATAGACAACCACAATATTACTCGGAATAAACATAATAGGCAAAGAAAGATTTTGTGGTTTAATCCTCCTTTCAATTTAGCGGTAAAAACTAAAATTGGTAAGATATTTTTTAATTTACTGGAACAACATTTCCCAAAAAAAACTGAATTACATAAAATATTTAACAAAAACAATGTAAAACTTAGTTATTGTTGTATGCCGAACGTAGGGACTATTATAAATGGATTGAATAAGAAAAAAACTAGGAATGATCCACGTAGTAATCCTCCTACTTGTAATTGTAGAAACAAAAACATCTGTCCATTACAGGGAAAATGCCAGCAGGAATGCGTGGTGTATCAAGTGAAAATTTACAAAAATACTGAGGATACTAATCCTAAAACATACATAGGTGCTACTCAGGATAAATTTAAAAAAAGATATTATAACAACACGAGTAGTTTTAAGAATGCAAAAATTAAACATAGTACCATGCTATCTACCTACGTATGGAAAACCAAACAAGATAATATAGACCCCATCCTTAAATGGGAAATATTAAAAAAATGCCCAAAATATAAAGCAGGCCATAAATTTTGCAAATTATGTGCTGAGGAGAAATTAGCCATAGCTTTATATGATCAACCCAATCAACTATTAAACTCTAAAACTGAAATTCTCAATGTATGTAGACATAAAAAATCTTGGCTACTAAATTAGACGTTTTCCCGTTATTGACTTTCCACTGAGGTTTTTTTTTTTTTTGTTGAATAAATATTCCCCCCCCCTACTTAGGTTGTTTTTTTGTTTTTATTTTGTCATGTGGTATGATTTTAGCTATCACCTATAAATATGTGTGTTTCTCTTTGCCTCGTTAGCCAAACTTTCCCTGACGATCCGTTTAGGTGAAACCTAGGTAGGTTTGTCTGGCTCACTATATATATATATATATATATATATATATATATATACGTGTGTGTGTTTATGAGTGTAGTTCTGCTTTTGTATAATTCATTTTTGGTGGGCAAATTTCCTAGAAATCAAAATTTAGGTCAATTGTTCGTCGAGTCAAAATAAAAGTAAAAAACAACTTTTTTCATTATTGAATTGAGGACAATGTTTTCAGAAATAATTTTATCGAAGGTTGGATCAAAAGAAATAAACAATAATAATAATAATAATAATAATAATAATAATAATAATAATAGCAGGCTTAATGGATAAATTAAAAAGACTTGCTATCACTTGCTCCATGGTTAAAGTCAATTAGTGTTCAAGGCATTTTACTCATGGAAAACGTTTAGGCTACTACTACTAATAATAATACTACTAATACTACTACTAGTACTAATAATACTACTACTAATACTACTACTACTAATACTACTAATAATTTAGCTTGAGAACCAAATTTTAATAATGAAACTGTTTTGTCACTTTGTGGATATGCGTGTCAGATACGTGTGTTAGTCTGTGTGTCTGGGTCTGTGTGTGTGTGAATGTGTGTCGGCTTGGATGTGTGTGTGACATTGCAAAACATTTACTTTTTATATTTCGTATGTCTGTCTGTCTGTCTGTGTCTGTTCGTCTATATGCAGTATTTATCTATCTTATTAAAACTGTTTTCTATCTATCTATCTATCTATCTGATTCCTTTTAATATCTATCTATCTATTTATCTATCTATCTATCTATCTATCTATCTGATTCCTTTTAATATTTATCTATCTATTTAATTCAAACTGCTTTCTATCTATCTTAATAGGGCAACTTGAGGCGGTGTAATGGTTATCAAGCTTCTCACTCGAAACTTACGACTTAGCATTGAGTTCGATCCTCACTGGGTGTCCCTTACATTCGGCCTTGTGCCATATCTAAGCTACGTTTGGAATAACCCTATACTGTTTCTGTCTGTCTGTCTATTTTATAAAAACTGCTATCTATCTATCTATCTATCTATCTATCTATCTATCTATCTATCTGTATCGCTTCATTACCTTGTAGAGGGCCGTGGCTGTTATGTTGTTGATAGAAGTCAGACGTAGAAGAAACGCATGTAAGGTTCAGATACTCCTGCCCGCCGGGCCCAACTACATAAAAAGGTTGGACTTTGATTAAGTCCAAAGAAGAAGGTAAAGAAAGCAAACAAAACACAAGACCGATAATATATGTATATACAAATATATATTAATAACAAGTTACAATACATGGAAACATTACAAAGGATGAAGTATATGGGAATATTCTGTATGTGCGTGCGTGTGTGAATATTCTGTATGTGCGTGTGTGCGTGAATATTCTGTATGTGCGTGCGTGTGTATTGTGCTTAGCGTGTTTCCACGCTATCCCTTGTTAGCGCCTACGTTTCGAGGTTGATAGCTGAAAGCCTGAGGAAAAAAGAAGATTTACCTCAAGGTGTTTGGCGCACAGGCCTGAGGGAAAAAGAGCTAGAGGCGAAAGGTCAGCGGCTATTTATAGCCAGGGAAGAAAGCCCTGGTGAAAGGGTTAACGAACTGAAGGAGGAGTTAACTCCGACAATCTATCTATCTATCTATCTATCTATCTATCTATCTATCTATCTATCTCTTTACCTGTTTGTCTGTCTATCTATCAACCTGATCTGCTGTCTCTCTGTATATCTATCTATCTATCTATCTATCTATCTATCTTATTAAAACTGATATCTATCTCAGTGTCTATCTTTATCTGACGGAGCGTTTGCAGTCAATTGCCGAGAGTCTGTTGGGACCCGATCAAACTTGTGCTGTGAAGGGCCGAACATTTCAGAGCAACATGCATCTGATCCGCACGATCCTAGAGGGTGTAAAAGACGACGAGCAAGCCGCGCTGATCAATTTGGATCAGTCCAATGCATTTGATAGGGTCGACCATCGGTATCTGGCTGCTCTCCTGCAGGCCGCCTGATTCCAACCCGATTTCTGCAAATGGATTAGCCTCCTGTATCGCTCACCCAGTGCTGTGGTACAGGTGAACGGAAAGCGGTCGCACGCTTTTGCGCTGTCTCGGTCGGTTCGTCAGGGTTGCCCACTGTCGCCCCTACTTTACGCCTCTTCGCCGGCTGAGGGACGGGGCGTGCAGTGCGGCCATACGTGGAATTGCTGTCCCTGGTGAGGCTCGAGCCAGGGTTTCCGCGTACGCCGATGACATATCCATTTTCGTGTCGTGCCACAGCGACATTGAGGTGGTACAGAAGGCGCTTGAACGGTACGAAAAGGTCACATGGGCCAAGATTAACCGTAACAAGTCTTCCGGCTTGCGGTTAGGTGCCTGGAAGGGGGTCTCTATTCCGGGGCCTTTCAGTTGGACGGACGGTCCTGTCCGCATTCTCGGAGTGTGGTTTGGACCCGATTTCCAGCTGGAGAAAAATTGGTTAGAAGTACAGGCAAAGGTCGGAGCGTCGGTCCGGACTTGGCTCCGAAGGAGGTTGTCCTTGAAGTGTAGCACGGAGGCGTGTGCCACTTACGTCTTTCCTCTCGTCCTTTACCGCTTGGCTGTACTTACTCTTTGCAAGGACCATAGGAAGGCGATCGAGCGTTTGTTGTCCACCCTCTTGTGGGGTGGGCGCAAGCAGAAGGTCCGTAAAGAAGCTTGTGTCCAACGTACGTGTCATGAGGGGGGAGGGCTGGGATTGCCGCACGTGGTGAGTCATCGAAACGCCTTGAGTTTGGCTTTCCTACGCCGCGTTTTGATAGAGGATTCGATTTTGGTGGGGAGTGTTAGGGACGCCTTCCCTAGCCTTACTATCACTCCTCCCATTTCCTGGGCTAAGCGCCGTCGTAGGTCCGGGAAATGGTCGACTTTTCTCAACGAGTGTCGAGCGGCCTTGAGGGCTTTTCCTCTGTCCAGTGACCTTTCACGGCCTCGAAAGGTCTTTTATCGTGAATTAGGGGAGTGGGTCGTGAAGGATCGTCTCTGCGAGCGGCTCGGGTTGTCGGTGGACGAGTTGCGCTCTTTCTGGTCTTGGGCGTCAGCGGCGAATTACCTCAGTAACACTGGGTTTTCTCTTACCTGGCGATTGATCCGCAACGTGCTATCTCTCAACGACATGGCCTTCAGATGGGGCTGGGCAGATTTGCCCGACTATTACCGGTGTGACCTTGGTTTAGAAGAAACGGCTTTGCACGCCTTCTACCATCGTCCTCAGGTACGCACTTTCTGGGACTATGTCGGCGAGATGACGGCTCGTATCACTTCCGATCAGCTTGTACTCATCGATCTAACGTTGCTAGCCGTGGCAAGAATGCTGATCTAGATGACGCGAAAGGAGGGGATCTTGCGACGGGAACGCTATTCTCATCAGGTTCTGATCAGATACATTCAGCATCAGCTGAAAGTGAAAATCAGAACTGATAAAAAGCGTTTGGTGTCGACAGATTTCAACGAAAGGTGGGTAAAAGTAGCGAATTTGGTTCGCGTGAAAGGGGCTATCCTTGAGTTCCATTTTTAAGTCCCCTCTCGTCACAACGGGGTGGTTTCCTGCGAACCCTCCCCCCTCGTTAAGGTAGATCCCCATTTTGTGTACCTAGTTAACGTGAGTGAGTGTCGTTCCCGGCCTGTTCCCGGTGCTTTACTTTGGTTATGAGCCAAGTTGAGATTCCCAACCTCCCCAGTTTGTTTTCGGCCGCCTTTGACTTCAGTATTTGACTCCCCCACGCCCTACATTTATTTTTCATCTCTCCCATTCCGTTAGAGAGTTAGCCTCTTGATTCTGTCTGATGACAGAATACAGCGGCAACTCTGACTTTTGTGGGGTGGATGGGCCCTACTAACATTAATTATTTCCTGTTACTTTCTGTTTTATATATAATTTTTGTATCGGGATTCAGAACCCTCCCCATCATTTCACATCATCGTCAGATTTATATATATATATATATATATATTATGAACTTTGTACATAAGAGATTTTAAACCATGGGGTTTAATTTTAGGGTCCCATTGTGAATGTGGTATTTTGGTATATGTAGGAGTAAAAGATGAATGGTGAATTCTTTTGGTGAATGGGTTATTTGTATTAAATGAATGGGTCGTGAATCGGGTTAGCTAGGTAAAGGATAAGTAAGGATGACCAAACTCAAACCCAACCCCCACTTCAAGGTCATGTGCCACAATTATTGTATTTTGCAATAATAAATAGAATCTATCTATCTATCTATCTATCTATCGCAGTCCTTTTAATATACATCTGTCTGTCTATCTATCTAACTATCTCAGTCATTTTAATATCTATCTGCATTTCTATCTGATACATATTAATATCTATCTATCTATCGTTCTATCTATCTATCTGATTCCTTTTAACATCTATCTATCTATCTATCTATCTATCTATCTATCTATCTATCTATCTATCTATCTATCTATTTGAGTCCTTACAATATCTCTTTGTCTATCTGTCTATATATCTATCTATCTAAGACCTTTTAATATCTATCTATCTATCTATCTATCTATCTATCTCGGTCATTTTAATAACTATTTATCTATCTATCTATCTATCTATCTATCGCAGTCCTTTTAATATATATTTGTCTATCTATCTATCTATCATTCTATCTATCTCAGACCTTTTAATATCTATCTATCTACATGAGTCCTTTTAATATCTGTCTATCTAACTCTATATCATTCTATCTATCTAAGTCCGTTTAATATTTATGTATCTATCTATCTATCTCAGGCCTTTTAATATCTATCTGTCTATCTATCTATCTGAGTCCTTTTAATATCTCTCTATTTATCTATCTATCTGAGTTCTTTAATATTCATCTATCTATCTATCTATCTATGTATCTATCTATCTATCTATCTCAGTCCTTTTAATATATATCTGTCTGTGTATCAATCGATCTGTCCTTTTAATATCTATCTGTCTATATCTATATATCTCAGTCCTTTTAAATATATCTGTCTATCTATCTGTGTCAGTCCTTTTAATATCTATCTCTCTGTCTCCTTTTAATATCTATCTGTCTATGGATCTATCTATGTATCTCACTCCTTTTAATATCTATCTATCTATCTATCTATCTATCTATCTATCTGATTCCTTTTAATATCTATCTATCTATCTATCTATCTATCTATCTATCTCAGTCCTTTTAATATCTATCTATCTATCTATCTATCTATCTATTTGAGTCCTTTTAATACCTCTCTGTCTATCTATCTATATATCTATCTATCGAAGACCTTTTAATTTATCTATCTATCTATCTATCTATCTATCTATCTATCTATCTATCTATCTATCTCGGTCCTTTTAATAACTATTTGTCTATCTATCTATCTGTCTATCGCAGTCCTTTTAATATCTATCTATCTATCTATCTATCTATCTATCTATCTATCTATCTATCTATCTATATCTATTTATCTATCTATCTATCTATCTATCTATCTATCTATCTGAGTCCTTTTAATATCTGTCTATCTAACTATCTATCATTCTATCTAAGTCCATTTAATATCTATATATCTATGTATCTGAGTCCTTTTAATATCTATCTATTTATCTATCTATCTGAGATCTTTTAATATCTTACTATCATTCTATCTATGTATATATCTATCTATCTCAGTCCTTTTAATATCTATCTATCTGTCTGTCTATCTGTCTATCTATTTCAGTCATTTTAAGATATATCTGTCTGTCTATCTATATATCCCAGTCTTTTTAATATACATCTGTCTCTCTCTCTCTCTCTATATATATATATATATATATATATATATCAGACCTTTTAAAATATATCTGTCTATCTATCTATCTGTGTCAGTCGTTTTAATATCTGTCCGTCTATGTATCTACCTATCTCAGTCCTTTATCTGTCTATCCATCTATCTATCTATCTATCTATCTATCTATCTATCTGATTCCTTTTAATATCTATCTGTCTCTCTATCTATCTAAATATCTATCTGTCTCAGTCTTTTAAATATCTGTCTATCTATCTATCTGAGTCCTTTTTTTAGTCCTATCTGTCTATCTATCTATCTATCATCATATCTATCAGTTCTTTTAATATATATCTGTCTATCTATCCATGTCCATCCTAATATCTATTAATTTGTCTCCTTTTAATAACTTTCTGTCTATGTATCTATTTATGTATCTCACTCTTTTTAATATATATCTGTCTATCTATCTATCTATATGACTACTTTTAATATCTGTCTATCTATCTATATGTGTCATTTTAATATCTACCTATCTATCTCAGTCCTTTCAATATCTATCTATCTATCTATCTATCTATCTGATTCCTTTTAATAACTATCTGTCCATCTGTCTATTTATTTAACGATCCATTTATTTAATATCAATCTATCTATATATATATCTATTTATGTCAGTCCTTTTAATATCTATCTATCTATCTATCTATCTATCTATCTATCTATCTATCTATCTGAGTCCTTTTACTATCTATCTATCTATCTATCTATCTATCTATCTATCTTAGTCCTTCTAATATCTATCTGTCTGCCTGTCTATCTCTCTAAATATATATCTCTCTATGTGTGTGCTTTTACTATCTATCTATCTATCTATCTATCTATCTATCTATCTCAGTACTTTTAATATCTATCTCTTTGTCACCTTTTAATATCTATCTGTCTATCTATCTATCTATCGATGTATCTAAATCCGTTTAATATCTATCTATCTATCTATCTATCTCAGTTCTTTTAATATCTATCAATCTACCTGTGACTTTGAATATCTATCTATTCCTCTAACAATCTGTTTATCGATCGATATCTATCTCAGTCCTCTTATCTATCTATCTACATAAGTCTTTTTCATATCTATCTATCATTGTTTTTAATATATATCTGTGTCTATCTATGTGAGTCCTTTTAATATATGTCTATCTATATATCTATCTCAGTCCTTTTAATATCTATCTGTCTATGCATCTCAGTCATTTTCATATCTATCTATCTATCTATCTATCTATCTATCTGATTCCTTTTAATATCTATCTATCTAACTATCTGATTCCTTTTAATGCCTATCTATCTATAGATTTATCTATCTCCGTCTTTCTATCTATCTATCTATCTATCTATCTATCTATCTATCTATCTATATATATATATATATATATATATATATATATATATATATCTGTCTATCTATCTATCTATCAGTCCGTTTAATATCTATCTATCTATCGATATCCTATCTATCTCAATATTTTTAATATGTATCTATCTATCTATCTATCTCAGTCATTTAATATCTATCTATCTATCTATCTATGTCAGCCCTTTTAATATCTATCTATCTATCTATCTATCTATCTATCTATCTGAGTACGTTTAATATCTATATGTCTGTCTGTCTATCTATCTATCTATCTATCTATTTGTCCTTTTAATATCTATCTATCTATCTATATATATATATATATTGATCGATCTATCTCAGTGCTTTTAATATCTGTTCCTCGATGTATCTATCTTAGTCCTTTTAATATCTATCTATCTATCTATCTATCACGTATTTTTTAATATCTATCTATCTATCTACCTATCTATCAGAGTCTTTTTAATATTTGTCGATCTTACTATCTATCATTGTATCTATATCAGACCTTTTAATATCTGTCTCTCTATCCATCTCAGTCCTATTAATATCTATCTGTTTATCTATCTATTTATCTGTCTATCTATCTGAGTCCTTTTAATATGCATCTATCTATCTATCTATCTATCTATCTATCTATCTATCTGAGCCCTTTTAACATCTATCTGTCTATCAATCCATTTTTCTATCTATCTCTGTCCATTTAATATCTATCTATCTATCTATCTATCTATCTATCTATCTATCTATCTATCTTAGACGTATTAATTTCTATCTGTCTGTCTATCTATCTATTTCCGTCCTTTTAATATCTATCTATCTATCTATGTATTTCCGTCATTTTAATATCTATACGTCTATCTATCTATCTCAGGCCTTTTCATATTTATCTGACTATCTATCTATTTCATTCCTTTTAATATCTATCTATCTATCTATCTATCTATCTGAGTCCTTTTAATGTCTATCTATCTATCTATCTATCTATCTCAGTGCTATTATCTGTCTATCTATCTATTTATCTGTCTATTTATCGATCTAAATCCTTTAAATATCTATCTACCTATCTATATGATATTAATATCCATCTGTCTATCTACCCATCATTCTATCTATCGCAATCCAATTGATATCTGTCTATCAATCACATTCCGTTTGATATCTATCTATCTATCTATCTATCTATCTTAGTCCTTTAATTTCTATCTGTCTGTCTATCTATCTCATTCTTTTTAATATCTATCAGTCTATCTATCTGAGTCCTTTTAATATATGTCTATCTACTACCTATCTATGCATCTCAGTCAATATCTATCTGTCTATCTATCTATCTGGTTCCTTCAAATATCTATTTATCTATATATCTATCTATCACAATCATTTTAATATCTGTTTCTCGGTCTGCCTATCTTAGTCTTTTTAATATCTATCTATCTATCTATCTACCTATCTATCTGAGTCTTTTTAATATCTGTCGATCTAACTATCATTCTATCTATCTCAGTCATGTTAATATCTATCAGTCTATCTCTTTGTTTATCTGTCTATCTATCTCAGCCGTTTTACTATCTAACTGTTTCAATTTAGTATCTATCTATCTATTTATCTCATTTTTGTAATATCTGTCTTTCTATCTATCTATTTAACTTCTTTTAATCTATCTATCTATCTATCTACCTATCTATCTCAGTTCATTTAATATCTATCTATCTATCTATCTTTCCATCTCAGTCCTTTTAATATCTATCTATCAGTCTTTTTAATATATATCTATCTATCTAACTATCTATCTATGTTTAACCGCCGTTTAAATATCTATCTCTCTGTCTATGTATCTCTCTACCTTTCTATCCGAGTCCTTTTAATATCTATCTGTCTATCTATCCATCGTTCTATCTATCTATCTATCTATCTGATCTTTTAAAATAAAATCTATCTATCTATCTATTATATCTCAATTGATATATCTATCTATCTATCTATCTATCTATCTATCTATCTATCTATCTATCTATCTATCTATCTATCTATCTATCTCAGTCCTTTAAATATCTGTCTATCTATCTATCTGTCCAGCTATCTATCTCAGTTCTTTTAATATCTCTCTATCTATCTATCTATCTATGTATCTCAGTACTTTTAATATCTATCTGTTTATCTATCTACCTCCGTCATTTTAATATCTATCTATCTATCTATCTATCTATCTATCTATATCTATCTATCTATCTATCTATCTATCTCAGTCCTTTTAATATATATCTGTCTATCCATCTATGTCAATACTAATATCTATTTCTCTGTCTCCTTTTAATATCTATCTATTTATGTATCTATTTATGTATCTCAGTCCTTACCCATATCTATCATCTATCTATCTATCTATATATCTTCTATATTTATCTATCTATCTATCTATCTATCTATATATATAATATCATTTATCTATCTATCTATATCTATATATATATATATATATATATATATATATATATATATCAATCTATCTATGTAAATTTAATATGTATCTATCTATTCTATCTATCTATCTATCTATCTATCTACATAATTCTTTTCTATATCTATCTATCTATCTATCTATCTATCCTTTTAATAATTTAATATCTATCTATCTATCTCCTTTATAATATCTATCTATCTATCTATCTATCTATCTATCTATCCTCCTTTTTAATATCTATCTATCTATATCTATCTATCTATCTATCTATCTATCTATCTATCTAAGTCTTTATATAATATCTATCTATCTATCCATATCTATCATCTATCTATCTATCTATCTATCTATCTATCTTTTAATCTATCTATCTATCTATCTCAGTCCTTTTATATCTCTGTCTATCTATCTATCTATCTATTTATCTATCTATCTATCTATCTATCTATCTATCTATCTATCTATCTATCTATCTATCTATCTATCTATCTATCTATCTATCTATCTATCTATCTATCTATCTGTCTATCTATCTATCTATCTATCTATCTATCTATCTATCTATCTTTATCTATCTATTGTCTATTTTAATATATCTATCTATCTATCTATCTATCTATCTATCTATCTATCTATCTATCTATCTATCTATCTATCTATCTTTTAATATCTATCTATCCATCTATCTCTCAGTCTATTTTATATCTATCTATCTATCTATCTCAGTCTTTATTAATATCTATCTATCTATCTATCTATCTATCTATCTATCTATCTATATATCTCAGTCCTTTTCTATCTATCTATCTCATCTATCTATCTATCTATCTATTTAGTCTTTTTTATATCTATCTATCATCTATCTATCTAAGTCCTTTATCTATTATCTATCTATCTATCTATCTATCTGTCTTTTTCTTATCTATCTATCTATCTATCTATCTATCTATCTATCTATCTATCTATCTATCTATCTATCTTTTCATATTCATCTATCTATCTATATATCATCTATTTTATCTATCTATCTATCTATCTATCTATCTGTCCTTTATATCTATCTATCTATCTATTTCAGTCTTTTAATATATATCTATCTATCTATCTATCTATCCATAACATCTATCTATCTATCTATCTATCTATCTATCTATCTATCCATCTATCTATCTATCTATCTATTTTAATATCTATCTATCTATCTATCTATCTATCTATCTATATCTATCTATCTATCTATCTATCTATCTATCTATCTATCCATTTTAATATCTATCTATCTATAATATCTATCTATCTATATATCTATCTATATATATATCTATATCTATCTATATATCTATCTATCTATATCATTTTCCATTTAATATCTATCTATCTATCTATTCAGTCTTTTTAATATCTATCTGTCTGTCTATCTATTTAATATCTGTCTATGATATCTATCTATCTATCTCAGTCCTTTTTATATCTATCTATATATATATCTATCTATCTATCTTCTATCTATTATCTATCTATTATCTATCTATCTATTATTTAAATATCTATCTATCCATCTATCTATATCTATTTTTATATCTATCTATCTATCTATCTATCTATCTATCTATCTATGTCCTTTTCATATCTATCTGTCTATCTGTCTGTCTATCTATCTGTCTATTTACCTAACGGCTTTTCACATCTATCTATCTATCTATCTATCTATCTATCTATCTATCATATCTATCTATCTAATCTATCTATCTATCTATCTATCTATCTATCTATCTATCTATCTATCTCTGTCCTTTTCATATCTAGCGATGTTTTTCATGTCTATCTATCTCTGGTAATAATAATAATAATAATCATAATAATAATAATAATTATCTTGCAATAATAAATACTGATGATCTTGCAATAATACGGCTGTTAGTAATATTGTAATATTAATAATGTCATGACAATATTACTAATAATCTTGTAATAATAATACTAATAATCTTGGTTAATAACACTAATAATATTGTAATAATAATAATAATAATAATATTTTAATACTCTAGTAATGATAATACTACTAATCTTGCAATAATAATAGTAATAATCTTGTAATAATGACGATACTAATATTGTGATAATGATAATAATCTCGCAGCAATATTACTAATAATCTTGCAATTTTTAGTAATAATGATACTAATAATATTGTAATACCAAAAATCCCGTAATTATAATAATATTTTATAATTTTGAAATAATAAAGATGCTAATAATATTCCCATAATAATAAATAAATTTAACAATATTACTAATAATCATGTAATTTTACCTGTAAGAAATTATAGTAATAATGATACTTGTAATATTATAATAATGATACTAATAATATTGCAATAATAATAATCTCGTAAGCAATATTACTAACAAATATTAATAATAATAATAATAATCTTGTTGTAATAATGATACTAATAAAATTGTAATAATAATAATAATGATCGCATAACAATATTAGTAATAATCTTGCAATAATAATAGTAATAATCTCGTACTGACAGTGATACCAATAATATTGTAATAATAATAACAATAATGATTCCGTAACAATATTAGTAATAATTGTTTAACAATAACACTAATAATATCGTAGTAATAACGATACTAATAATATTTGAATAATAATAACCTTGCAATAATAATATTAATAATAATCTAAAAATAATCTATATATCGTAATAATGATAAATAATAATGATGGTAACATTATTAGTAATAATCTTGTAATAATAACGCTAATAATATCGTATTGACAGTGGTACTAATAATATTTTAACAACAATAATCTGGCAATAATAATAGTAATAATCTTGTAATAATAATGATACTAATAATATTGTAATAATATTAATAATAATGATCGTATAATGATCTTGTAATAATAATGATTGTAATAATAAATCTATAAGAGGAAGACTAATAATCTTTTAAATACTAATAATGATAATAAGCTTGAAATAATATTACTAATAATCTTGCAGTAATAATACTAATAATCTTATGCCAATAATACTGGTCATATGGATAATAATAATAGTAAGAATCTAGTGATAATGATAATAATGTAATAATAATGCTTTCATAATGATAATAACTAATAATCTTGTAATAATAAATAATAATACTAATAATAATAATACTAATAATCCTGTAATAATAATAATTCTTTTTCTATATATATAGGTGTGTGTGTGTTTGTAATATATATAAATATATATTCACTTAAATTTGGCACACAATCTTCATGGCCGTGATGCCGTACATGTTTGGGGGTTTTAAGGACTCTCTCGGTGCATCCGAATTCCATTTCATTTTAGATACTGTCGACCTGGGGAGAAAGATAATGTTACATAAGGACTAGATATATACGTATGTAGGGGCGTTGTGTGTATACATATATATATATATATATATATATATATATATATATATATATATATATAGTTGTTTAGTTAGTTAGTTAAATTCCCAGATAAATTCTCAAATGACAATATATATATATATATATATATATATATATATATATATATATATATATATATATTTGATTGGATAGATGGTTTTTTTTGTGACCCTGGGTTTCACGCTTTTAGCGATCGTCAGACAAACTCCATTTCATTTTAGACATTGTCGACCTGGGAGAAGAGAATGTTATAGAAGTAAATCTGTGTTGTATGTGTGTGTGTGTGTGTGTGTGTGTGTAACAGATGTGTGTGTGTGTGTGTGTGTGCCAAAAAAATTTTTACGAACGATGGCCTTCAACGAACGTGTGCATTTAACACTTCGACGGACTTACGCATTTACCTTGTAATGCGCATTTCGGGCATACGGCGACCGCGAACGATGGCCTTCAACGAACGTGTGCACTTTAACGCTTCAACAGACTTACAGATTTACCTTCCAAGTCGCATTTCGGGCGTACGGCAACCGGCAACGAAGGAATTCAACGGTCTCACGTATTTGCCTTTTAATGCGCATTACGCACGTCCGGCTACGGTAAACGGTGCCTTAGACGTATTCAATTAATCTAATGTGTTTATTGAATTTTAGAAATTTTGTCTTTAAATTTACTATAGTTATCAGTCTTATTTTCTGATCATATCGTCAATAGTTGCCTGTACTTACCAAGAGAAGGAAAAAAAAGCACATTTATACATTAATTAAAAAAAAAACATTACAAATTTTAAAAACATTCTTGTTTGATAATTTGTATTAATAAATATAGTTTTCACTTAAAATCATCAAAACTGCAGAAATCAATAAAGAATTTTAAAAGAATTAAAACTTAATAAATTTTCCTAAAAAAAATTATGAAAAAACAAAAACAATTCTTGAAAAAATTCATTATTCATTGAGAAATTTATTTCTTCTTAAGCTAATAACAATGCCCTTAATATATCTTATTTCTAAAAGCAATT